ACTTTTTTTAAAGACACAGACCAGATCTTTACCCTAAACAATACTTTAAAACTCTGGACAGCATATCAAATGAATCTGCATTCGTTTTCTCTGAGGAAAGACTCGAGCTTCAGACTTTTAATTTACAGAGCATGATTAAGGAAATTGTACTTGTGATCAAAGCAAAAGTAACCTGACTGCGGCTGATCAAAGAGCTGAGAGTTGCAATAGCTAATGGACTGCTACTGAGCCAAATCTTGCTAGCAAACTCAATAACGGGCAGAGCTATAAATGAAAGCACAAGGGGAGAAGCGAAGGTTAGAAAAGATGAAAGCTACTCAGGGCTGGAAAACCACAGAGCAAGTCACATGCCACTTCTGGGCATTTAGTACTCGAGGTCGGAAGGGAAGAATTGTCCCTCAACACTTGCACCTTGTGTGGTCTTAAGATCTGGGATTCGATGCTGGAAAGAGCTGAGAGACGGCACAGAGTCAAAACTGACCTGGATGTGCATGCAGCTGTATGTGAATTCAGAGGATAGGATAGAGAGCTACAGGAGTAGCTAGCCCACCGCATAGATGTGCAACGTGCTCAGTTGTGAGCCTTGACTATCTTTTTTGGTGTTTCGGTGAAGTTTTTTTCTGTTGCTCGGGGATCCCCAGGGGAGAGAAATTATTCAGGTTTGAGCAGAGGAAGCACGGACTAAGTGGGCAAAGGGTATTCTAGGTGGGCAGTTTAAACTCTAGTGAATATAATACGAAACGATGATTGTTCCTGGGGAGGTTGAAGCACAGGTCCCTTTTGCATAGGAGGGTGGTTGTTGAGTGTGTCTGTTGTCACTGAGAACATGAACCTGGCTGACTAATCAGCTGCCTCCCAGCCCACCCCACCCCTGCTTCTTGGCTGGATGTTAAATATAAATGCATGAACACAACAGGAAGGACAGACTTCTATACTATTACCTATTTGTGCTATTTATACTCTCTGATGCATCGTCAGTTTGCAGGGATTCATATCATGTAGAGTGGGAGTTAATAGGCAGAACATGCACTTACAACAGCGAGTGGGAGAGGGTACAGAGCTCCTCATGGAGAAAGTACAGCATGCGGCGATGCCGAGGGAAGAGGCCATTCTGCACGGTGCTGCCCAGCACTGATCCATCGACGAGGCGGCAGGTGGATGTAATCTGTTTGTAAAGCCAATAATGTCGGGAAGAAAGGCTGGAAAATGGGACTTAATTCTTTGCTCAGTAGGTGCTGCTTCACTGACTCCTTAATGGTGTTATGGCCTGGTTATGAAAACTGACTGGCACAGAGGGCAGGAGCCTTTCGCCTCCAGCGTCATGGCTCAAAGCCAGCTGGGGGCCATGCTGAGGAAAGTCCAGGTGACAGTTCAAGCGCTGTTGTGGGTTGAGCTTCACTCAATTTCCCGTTGTGCCAGTGTCTACATGGCAATTAGCATCCCATAGCATCCTGTTTGGCAGCCTCAGCAGAAAGGCTAGCGATCAAACTGTCTTGGGGGCCAAACCAACTTCTTACCCATCCAGTAGACACTGGCACAGGCACATACTGTCAGGATGGCCTGGAGATTGAGGGCCACCTCTGCCCAGCAAGTACCTCCTATTGTAGCTCCTCAGAGAGTTTGCGTTCGCCAGGCTTTTCCTCTGGCCCTTTGCACGAGCTCAGGAAGCAAGATCAGGGACCCCTTATACCCAAGGAATCCATTGGAAACAATTGGGCTGTTTGTGAACAGGATATTTCTCATTAAGAAAGGGCCCTATAATCTTCTAAAATGTCACTGTTTATACATGTGACATGGATCTGGGGTTTCCTTCATATTGCAGGTGCACTTTAATTTTTACATGATCTCTTGGCCCTTCCATTGCCTCCCTGCATCTCTTTCACCTGTTTTGGGGCTTTGCTATTTGGTTAAGCAAGAAACAATCCAAGGGAATCCCTGGGGCTCAGGAAGTGTCCTACCCAGCGCCCCGCTGGTGCCACGGGCTGGAGCCAGCTCCTCCCTCCGCAGGATTCCCATATGGTAACGCAAGCTGCTCAGCACTGGAGCTCGATATCTAGAACATGGGAACCCGGACACAAAACAGCACAGTGACGATAGAGGTATTCATCTGGGTTTCTATAGTTCCTGCCTCTCTTCAGGGACTTAATATGTCTTTCCTTCTTTCTGGGTGAAATTTAGCTTTGCGCAGAAGGCTGGCACATCACTGACACACCATGCAAACCCTGAGGGATGTTGAGTGGCACAGACCTTGTGCCGGATATCTTCACAAGGGCACGTTTCATCCTTTAGCAATGGTTCAAAGTGGGCACATTCAGGGACTGAGTCCCTTCCCACTCTCAGTCGTTTAAGCAAGGAAGGGCTCCTACAAGAGCGACAGACTTTCTACTGTTAGGAAAGCTGGCAGCGAGGGAGTGGGAGGTCAGGCCTTTGTTTTGCAGTTGCTGTTTTATTCTGCCACAAAGCTCGACTGTTGTCCATTCAACCTGCCTGCCTTGTGGGAAGAGAATGCACAGGACCTGACCCCGTAGCATGTACATATAACCCAGTGGAGTTCAAGCTGGGCTCCTAGGACATGCCTGTATTAACTCCAGAGCAAGCCTGAAAGAGAAATCCTGCCCACTCATGCCTGAGCCTGCAGATCAGGTAGCTCGGGCAGCTTGTAAGCATTCCTGAGACACAGAGTGGGCAGGACTTATTCTTCAGTGCCCTTCAGAAGCCGTGGAGATACTGCTTTAGTTGCCCTTTAGCGGCTGGACATGTAAAGAGGACTGAGTCAACCATTTCCTTTGAGATATGTCCTTTAGTTTAACCGTCAGTGCACCATGCTTCTCAGAAACAGTGGCCTTGGGTCCAGATCCCACAGATGTCCCAGCTGATATTACATGCAAATGCCCTGTGCTTAAATCAGGTGCAGTAGGAGAGCACTGGGTTGCGCCTTCCAAAATAGCACCAGGTAGGATGTGCTAAATTTCCTAACTGCAGTTCCCGTCTGGCAAGAACTGCTGCATATGCATAGTAGTAAAGGTCAATTGGCATAAGCCATGTTTGAATCCAAATGTGCCCTGAAAGGTTTTTGATCAAATCAGCTGTTCAACCAGTAAAAATTAAACTGGTGCAATTCTGTATATCAACAGGGCTCGCGACCTCTTTGTCTTCAGTTAGATTTGGCGTGTCAAATGCAGAGTGGATGCGTAAGCACGGGAGGATTCACCTACATTTTGATAAGACGATATGTAGTCGAAACTTGTGACAAGTCTAAATTAGAGGGTGATAGGATAAGGGGAAAATGTAAGTTATACCTTCTTGGGCTTTCATCTGAAAACACTTTCCAACAAGTGGGAAGTTCTTTCCGTATAATAATGCCATGTTATATAGACCAGAAAATATACAGGCACCTTTATGAAACTCAGAAAAAAGCCAAGGTTGTTGTCCTGCAGTGTCTGCAGACACATTTCCAGTTGGTTGCTACGTTTGAATGCCTCAGTCTTCATGGGGGTTCATTTGTACCTGGACAGGTATGAAGTATTTGATTTCTAGAGGCTTTGAGCACCTCTAGCTCCTACTGGCTTCATTAGGAGCTTTGGGTGCCAGGCCCTTTTCCAGATTAGATGCAGGGTGTCCTAAATGAGGTTTTCAAATATAAGGCACTTATTTTTAACTCCAGACTCAAACTGTTAAGGGCAATCATTCCATGAGATTTTTTTGGGAACTCTCATAGGAAATAACTCTCACAACGTTAATTGATAGTCCATGAGAGTTTCAATTAAGTGGTTATTGAAAACTTAATGTTTTGATGCCATCTTACTTTAGAAAAATCTTTGAAGTATGTTTAACCCACATTTCAGATCTGTTCCGTATATAGAACCCCAATGAAGGAAATCTTTATGCTTTTTTCTTTCCTTAATGAAAATACAAAATATCTAGAAGAGGTAGTATGTAGTTACCGACAAATCAATTTGAAGGCCATGAGAGACTATTACTGTCACTTATTGCTAGCTCTTGCATTAAGCTTCTGTTCTCACTCGCTCTCTTAGATATCACATTTTGATTAGTGATGAAATGTGACTTCAGTAGCTAGGCTGATCAGGAGCTTGGTTTTATATCTTTTGTGGTTTCAACATGTTTTCATTAAATTTAGTGGACAGCATGGGCTCCCTCTGGTGTCTAATTTCAATACATGACATTCAGTTTAATTTGCCCTTTTATTCCAGCCCAATCAATACGGTGGGAGTGTTGAACTGAGAAAACAAAGCCTTTGTTTGTGCTTTCACTGAGAATTTGATGTCCACCCTATTTGTGATGCGTATAAGTAACATGTAAATCCTGTTCCACCCTAAAGTAAAGGGGTCATATATCAAAAACATGTCCCCCAAAAACAAACAGTGAAAAAGGTCAAATTGTATAAAACTGTGGAGGAAGACCCAAATAAAACATTCTCTCCTTGGCAGGTAGAAGCTGCAGAGTTTAACCTGAGGAGGAAAAATTATAGTCAGATTTTCAAAAAGTACTCAAGCTCCTACGCAGACCGCTCGGGAGAGGTGGCAGATTTTCAGAAGCACCCAACGCTCCCCATTATTCATGGTCAAGGAGGGGCTTTGAAAACATGGCTGCTTCACTTAGGTTGGGGGATATAACCAGCTGCCTATCTCGGTACCTACATTAATGAGACTTACAGTGTGTAGAGCATTTTTTAAATCTGGCCACTTATTTTGAATTAGCTGAATGGAAACTGTTGGGTATTCTCTCTTGAAAACCTGGCAGTTAGCGCTTTTGTTTCTAGAGTGATGGGTATGCTTGGTGGAAAAGGCATTTTGAAGTCACAGATGATATCAGATTTTCGCTGTTGAGGAATATCCTTGTTCTAGCCTGGGGTTAGATCATGCAGCCGTGAATTAGGCGGGGATCACGGCACAATTCTCTTGATTCACAAAGACATACTTTAAGGTCGAGGGTTGGTTTGTAATTTTTGTCATTCTAGTCATTGCTCTTTTTTTTCGCAGGTACTTTGAGTTTTATGAAGGTCCTTTGGAGTACAACTCAACAAAATGCCTGGAGCTGAGGCAGGATATAATTGATGTGAAAGTGCTCTCTATGTAAGTATGAGCAAATATTTTATACAAGAGTTGCCTTTCAAACAGGCATAAACGTGTTTAATGAAGCTGTCAAGGACATGGGTGTCAGAGGTCACGACTTCATGGAGCTGTGATTTCTGCTTCATCCAAGTAGAGGGGATTAAGCGCATTTGAACTATGGGCATCTTTCCAGTGACTTCATTGGGCTTTGATTCAGGCCCTTAATCATGATAAGTATTTTGATTAGTGATAGGGAAAACAGATACTTTCTTTTATATGAGAGCACTCAAGGCACCCCACTGATGTTACAACCCACGTATTTCAGATTTCAAAGGAGTTTGAATAACTTATTAGATTCATAGATTCATGGATGTTAGAATCAGAAGGGACCTCAATAGATCATCGAGTCCGACTCCCTGCATCGGCAGGGAAGAGGGCTGAGTTTAGATGACCCCAGCCAGATGCCTATCTAACCTCCTCTTGAAGACCCCCAGGGTAGGGGAGAGCACCACCTCCCTTGGGAGCCCATTGCAGATTTTGGCTACTTTAACTGTGAAGAAATTCTTCCTCATGTCCAGTCTAAATCTGCTCTCTGCTAGCTTGTGGCCATTATTTCTTGTAACCCCCAGGGGCGCCTTGGTGAATAAATCCTCACCAATTCCCTTCTGCGCCCCCATGATGAACTTATAGGCAGCCACAAGGTCGCCTCTCAACCTTCTCTTGCGGAGGCTGAAGAGGTCCAGGTGCCCTAGTCTCGCCTCATAGGGCTTGGCCTGCAAGCCCTTAACCATACGAGTGGCCCTTCTTTGGACCCTCTCCAGGTTATCCGCATCCCTCTTAAAGTGTGGTGTCCAAAACTGGATGCAGTACTCCAACTGTGGGATAGGTATTCCAGTTAGGATAGGTATCATTCTGCCAGTCAGACAGTATGGTGTGCATGTTCTGTCTGCCATCTTTTCACAGGTATATCAGGAAATGTATCAAAGGAAATGGGTACACAAATGGTCAGTTTTCAGGATGGAAAGAAGTAAACAGTGAGATTCCCCCTGGATCTGTGTTGGGACCAGTGCTGTTTAACATATTTATAAATGATCTGGAAAAGGGGGTGAGTAGCAAGGTGACCACATTTGTGGATGACACAAAATTATTCAAGTGGTAAAGACCAAGGTGGACTGGTAGGAATCGTAGAAGGATCTGGCATGATTGAGCAAATGGTTAACTAAATGGCAGATGAAAATCAGTGTAGATAAGTGTAAAGTGATACACCTGGGCAAAAATACCCCAAACTGTGCCTACATTATGTTGAGCTCTACATTAGCTGTTACTATGCATAGTATAGTAGATTATAGAGTTGGAAGGATCCCAGTGGATCATTGTGTCCGACCCCCTGCCCCTGACAGAAAAGAGGACTGAGGTCAGACGACCCCAGCCAGAGATCTGGGAATCATTGTGGACAGTTCGCTAAAAACATCAGCTCCATTCTGAGCAGCTGTAAAAAAGGCAAACAAAATGTTAGGCATTATTAATAAGGTAATTGTAAAGAAAACTGAAAGTATTATCATGCCCCTTTATAAACCCATGGTTTACCTATACCTTGAATACTGTGCCCAGTTCTGGTCCTTACACCTTAAAAAAGGATCTAGATGGACTAGATAAGGTAGAGAGAAGGGCTGTGAGGGTGATGAGTGGTATGGAGGGGCTTCCATATGAGGAGAGACTAAAGAGGCCAGGCCTATTCAGTTTAGAAAAGAGACACTTGTGCAGGGGATATGATAAATGTTTACAAAACACTAAATGGCAAAAAGAAAGGAAATAGGGACTTATTACCATATTTATTATTCCTCACCATGCAGCAACTAGGGGTCACAAAGTGAAACCAGTAGGTAGTAAGTTTAAAACTAAGAAAAGGCAATTCTTTTCACACAGTATATAATTAAAGTCTGGAACTCGTTGCCACCAGATGTGGAAGCTGACAGTGTAGCCAGATTCAAAAAGGGATTGGACAAATTTTTGGAGGAAAGGGGCTACGGTAGCTATTGAGCATGGGAGCTAGGAGTACAATCTCTGAATTAGACTTTCTTAGACCTTAAATGCTGGAGGCTGCAAGTGAGAGAGGAACAGTGGAAAAAACCTCTTGTGTAGCAGGAATCCACCCCTGCTATGCTTACCTGGTAGTCGAGCCGATGCTGGGGAAAAAGTGGCAAAGCCAAAAGGAATGCAAGTGCAGCCCCTTTTAACTGGATGCTGGAGAATGATGTCAAGGGTGTGTGAAAATTAAAAGAGGAATAATGAGACTGCGGGGGGGGATGCCCAGCTGCAGGGACTGGAGGACAGATCCTGAAACTGGGGTCAAGATGTGGTTAGCATACTTACTGGTGGCAGCAAGGAGATGCTGGCCAGG